GCCAGAGGTGCAGGGACAGTGAAAGGATTCACCAGAGAGACAGAATGGGGAGCAGAACAGGCCGACTGATGAAGTACACTGCTAAGGGGAGCAGCGGACGGGTCAGGAGAGGTCTGCCGCACCATGTGGTCACCTCCCGGGCAGGCGGGGATTGAACTCATGCTGAAGTGGCTTTAGCTTCTCAGTGTTGTGCTTTAACCACTGCGCCACCAGGGAGGGCCCCTAGTTCATGCTTTCACCTCACTATGATGGATGCTCATTTGACCTCACCACTTCACTGCTCTATTGACCTGACCACTATGGCTGTTCATTGTTTCCCATTATTGTTGCTGTATGGAGAAGAGAATGCTGACTCCGGGCTCCTCTGACTGCTAACTCTCCGTGTGTAGACACTTGAACCACTCATTCAGTGTCATAGTATTTCATTATCTCTAATTCTATTACCGTGATCTTGCTGAGTAGTCTTAGACAATAGTTAACATTTTCCAGCTTTGTTGGTTTTATTGGCATAAACTATTGTGTATGTTTAAGATACACAACCTGCTAACATGATTCACATATATATTGCAAAATGATCAGCCACTATATGTTGAGTAACGCCTCCAACATTTCACATTGTTATCATTTCCTTTTTGTGATGGGAACATGCACACGCCAGCTTCATTCTTCTGCATGTAGTTATTCGGTTTTCCAAGCAACATGTATTGAAGAGATTCTCTTTTCCCCATTGTGGATTCTTTACTCCATGTCAAATATTGGATAATCATGTATATGAGGATTTATTACTAGGCATTTGCCCTGTTGATTTGTGGTGGCTATTTTTATGATCACACCATACTCTTTTATTGCAATAGCTTTAGGATTGTTTGAAATCAGAAGATGTTTCCAGTTTTGTTTTTCTAAAAACTGTTTTTGCTATCCAGTACCACACAAATGAACTGAATTAAAAGGGTGACAGTACCATCCCATGAATAAAACAGTAATAACAAAAACTGAAGTTTGTCTTTTTCAGTATTCATATACAGTCAGAGGTGAGAAGATTTTTAAGACTGCAAGACTAAATTAGCAACAGGGCACCATCTGTTACCAAGATAGGAGACAGAAAAAATAAGATGGACATGTATATTCATTTTATTATTTTTATGCTCTGTGTTGACAGTTGATATTTTTCTTAAATATTATTTTAAAGAAACAACACTATCAAGTTAGGACAAATTCACTGCAATTTCTCCCTAACAGCAATGGTTATAGATTCTAATTTGTTATAAAAACTTATGCATGGCTCTATTTGCAACAAATCCATAAGATTTTAGTTGTTTTACCATGAATAAATATAATTATGCATGATTTCTACATGTATACACAAGGATAACTTGTGAGTAGGATATTTAAATATGTATATATGATCCATAATTATAAGTTATGTTATTTAAAGATTTACTTTTCATTCATTCAGCTAATTATTTAACTAGTCTTTTGGTCCACGTGTTCTCACGATTGTATTTTAAATGGCAGACATTGTCCAAGATGCTAGAATAACTTGCTAACAAGAGAGACAAGGTCCTTGCAGTCGCAAAGTTTAATGAGATCTAAGTAAAAAATGTGTGACCATAGTAATTAAGAGGGATTCTAAAAGACAGACTATAATTCATGAAGATAATATTTCATGTGTACAAATATTAAAGCAATGTATTTATCTTATGAAATAAAGATAAGGAAGAAAACGATATTTCTTTAGAAATCTCACTCTTAGTGTAACTACTCACACTCTTAACTTATTTATATATTTAATCTCGTGTTGATGTCATAATCTTTTAATGATTGCATCTTTCCTTAAAAATAATTGTTGACCTAGCTGATAGTGAATATTGATCCTCTGTTAAAGCTGATATTTATCATTTATTTAACTGTCTTTCACAATGCTGCACAGAACATATGATAATTACCATAAACAGACACAATTTTATTAGGAGCCCTTTGTTAGTGAATCTAGATAGGATTGTTTTCTTGCTGTGAATTATTTAGTTTTGGAAAACACATTTGTGATATCAATGTGTTGTTTTTTTTTTTTTCTTTTCTTTTAAGGTGTTATTAGAACAGCTTTGCCAAACATGGACAGGGAGGTCAAAGAGCAGTACCAAGTCCTCATCCAAGCCAAGGACATGGGCGGACAACTTGGAGGGTTAGCCGGAACTACGATAGTCAACATCACCCTCACTGATGTCAATGACAACCCACCTCGCTTCCCCAAAAGTATGTTCTTTCAATTAAGTTTATATAACTGAAGCTTTTTTAAAATTTCTTACATGTATTATGATAATTTTCCAACTTCTGGTCCTTAGCAGAAAATAATGGATACAGATGACATTTCTTTAGTATTTTCATTTTCCATTAGAAAACATGCATGGTGAGATCATATGAATGAATTGAATGAATCCTATGATCCAGTTAAACCTAAATATTCACAATAACATGGCATCCTCTTCTAATTTGTTATTGATTGCAAAAATATTATAAATGTGAACATTTTGTTATAACTTAAGTCTCATTTATGATATGCAGCCATTTTATTTATTATTCTATGTGATTAGTAGAATATTCTCTGCATAATGCATAATGATTTCATGTGTTGAATCATTTTCATAGACTTGTTTAAGTATTAGGTGATATTACAGTGACGCTATTTGCTATTTACATTATTTTAGTTCTATTTTATTTTAGTTTTGTAATAGGTGAAAATTGCTACAGTTTCTATGATAATAGATTGATTCACACCTGTATCCTCTCTGCAACTCTGTGTTTCTTATTGAAAATGAATACTTCTCACTTGTGTTACATCTAGTTTTCTTTTGTGGTATTACATTTAACACCAATCAGTACCTGTCAATTTCTGTTATATTTTCAAGGATTATTTCAGTGTTCCTAGGACTTAGAATATAAAACCTGAATGTTGCTTTCACTGGTTTTATGAGACTCTTGATTAAATAGCTAGGAACTTATTTGCATGAACAGTTAAAAAAAAAAGCAAAAACCTTATTTGACTTTCTGACTCCAGGAGAGTTTGAGTCCATCCACAAAAAATATATATCCCTGAAAATATTTAACTAAACATGTTAATCCTTTAGCTGTCTGGTTTTCCAAACTCTACTACTTTGCCTTTATTTAAAAGTCATCAACCTATATTTTCTTTTGAAAATATTTTTAGGTAACAATTATATAGTCTAACCACCAAATATTGTAAAGGTGTCAGTTAGAAATCATTATGCTTCAGAATAGAATATATGTGACAAACGACTAATATAAAAGATGATGTGATCAATCACATTTACTATTTTAGAGCAACACTTTCCTTTTCAATGTGGGAGAAGGGGAAATGATAAACAAATATGAAAAGGAAGGAAGGAGTAGTGCATTTCATTCACTAGCATATGTCATTAGTAGAGAATATGCCCCTACATAGATTCATTTATTACCTACATGTGACAAGCTCTCATAGCTAAGGATACTAGTTTGGGAGATGACTATATTAAAGGTGACATTGTGAACTTGAGTCTTGTATTCATTTTATACGTAAAAAATATGTCCATTCTAGGCTGTAGGAAAGAGTGGAGGTTCTCGGTGCCAATATTTTTGTTCATAAGAAAGAGAAATTTCAGCTGAGGGATCTAAAATCAGGCCAGGTATTGCCAGCTTTTCTAGGTGTAGCCAAATAGCAGTTTGTAGAGGTTTGAGCAGGGGCCTGGGAAAATAGGTGGGAGCAGAAGGATATGAAAATGGCTCAATGTGTGAGAAACCAGGTCTTTCTTAGTGAAAAGAACATCTAGGTGAAGTAGTTATCTTGTTTGGAATGTATTTGAGGTAAATCTGTAGGCATCTAATGAGAACCTCTAGAAAAGATAGGGGGGAGATAAGGACATTAGACATTTCAGAGCATTTGTGTGCTGTCAAGAAAGTCTATTATTTCTTTTTCACAACAAAACTCTGTGATCTGCATTTTTCACATTTTACTGTAAAGAAAACTGGGGCTTACACTACATAATTTACTTAGAGAGATTGAAAAACTTGCCCAAGATAAATAAAATTAAATGACAGGTATGTTTTCCTCTGAAACTCAGATTTCCTCTAACTTAATATAGTATGAAAATGAAAAGATAATTTCTTTCATCTGCCATTTCAGAACCATATATTTTGGATCACATCTGCAGCAAAGTCATATGACATATGTTAAAATGATTTTATTCCTAAACAAATGAGAAGACAAAAGAAATATACCAAGAAGTTACTGTGAACAAATTATTTTGTTTTTATAACATACATATTTGAACTATAGTTTGAAACTAGAATAGGTGAGAGATATTTTCAAATCATGAGAAAGAAGGCAGTTTTCACATTTTTCATGAATAAAAAATTAATCCCCTTGAAATTTTACATGCCTTTTTACCAAGCCCTTCTTACTCGACTGTCATTTTGAATTACATCATTCAGAGGAAAAGATAGGGGACATTTATAAACAGACATTTATGAATCTTTCAGAAGTCACTGTTCTTTTGCTGGAAAGCATCTCATGGAAGACAATTAAACTGCACCTCTGACTTAATAATAGCCTTTTGAATAAAAAGTTAAAAAATACATGCTCCATACATAAATACTTAAGAGAAACTTCCCCAGAACTAGTGATATTCATTCATGCCTATTCAACATTATACTAAGAAAAATATTCCTACAGATGAATTTCATGAGCTACATTTTTTAGTTGTTTAAAAATGCACACGTTTTTTACACTCTATTATTGATCATGTGCTTTGATCTTATGGCTGTGCCTATGTATAAGTGATGGTGTTAAGCACAGCTTTCCATCCATTCCCTTCCCTTCTATAAATCCATTTAAATGGCATATACAAGGCCTCTCTAGGGGTTTTGTCACAGCATCATAAAGCTGTCCACAGCCACTGCAGCAGCAAGTTCAATCCCAGGCCAGTCAGGGAGCTGACCCATATGGCACAACAGACCTGTCCTGTCTCCCCTCTGCTCTCCTCAGCAGTGTACTTTAGTAGATCCACCTATTCTGCTCCCTCTTTGTCTCTGGTGAGTCTTCTGCACTTCTGACCTGTACACCTCAGTTCTTCGAAGCATAAATAAAAACCCTTTAAAAAACATAAATGGCATATACATTTATGTCATGCAAACATAGTTTGCTGTTTTCATGTTGCAAAATAGATCCTGAGATAACAGAAATTGCATGTAATTGATGCAACAATGATGACAATATTGACCCTAAGTGAACGCGTCATGCAAAATGTAAAGTGATGTTTAGGTATATTACCATTGAACACTTATAATGACTGGGCAATACTTTCTTAGTTATAGGAGGGAAAGAGCAAAACTATTATT